GGGAAATATGAATGATGACAGAGTGTATTATTTTAAGAAAGTGTTTGCAGATAGCAAATAGAAAACAAAAATAGTGTCCATACACAACGTCAGTAATGTAACTCCAAAGTTGTTAAGACAATAGAAACATGTCATTTGTAGACAGCAATACAAAAACACAAAGGAAAGTAACCACCACCAGCCTTCTCTTGCGAAACTAACAGTGTTTTCTCTGTCTTAGATGTGCTATTTGTTTCTTATAGAGTCGTATTATCGCCAATATCTATTCGTTGTTATAGATAAACATATCTGGAACGATTAAAAAGCAAAAATATCACTTTTAAGCAAAATTGCTTATTATTGTAATAACAGCGAGAACATAATGTACAGCTTTATCGTCGTGATACTCATCATCACAATGTGCTTTAGATGTGGTCACAGCATCCACAGTCAGACGAGACGGACGTGATAGCGATTTACGTGAGGTATACTTACTTTCCTATGGCGTGGTTTTCATATCCCAGTTTCTTTAGGTATTGGGGGAGGAAAGGTTTATTGAAGGGCGAACACACTGCTTGCTGAGCCATCAGAGCTCCATGCTTATGTAAAAAGAAATGATACAAATTGAAATGAGCTTTTTATTATACTTATGTCATTTTCACATATCATAGATATATTTGTTTGCATACATTTAACTATATCAGTGTGTACTGAAAGAAATTATGACTTTTGAAAGTGTAAGATAGGTATCAATTGAAAGTTTAAAGACATACACTTAAATGCAATGTTTATACGATATTGAAGAATAGTATTACCTGAAGTCCAGCTTTGAAAGGATACACCCCCGTCATGAAAGCATTCCGGGACCTGATATTAGTAACATATTGTCGTCATTCACGTTGATCATACAAACAAGTGTTGTTTATAACTTGTTTCGGTAATATAAATGATTAGTTTTCTATAATAAATTTGATTAATTGATTTATAGGGTCTTAAAGATATAGTAACCTTATATACATATATATTGTTATATGGTAGTCGTGGAAGAGTAAGTTCCCTTACAAAAAATGTTCACGCCAAGATACAGTAAAGTATAAGGATAACGGCCTATCAGTACAAAGCCTTGTCATCATGAAGATCCCGAAGCGCTTGCAAACTATAAGTTTGGTAAACTGTTTCTGTATCTCTTAAACGATATGAATTCGTTATAATCAACGTGAAAACAGTTCCCGTTGGAAAAAATCCGAGGACAAAAATCTATTTGTCATAATAAAGCCATACTCACGGTGTACATAGGGGT